GACCTGAGTTCAGGGAATCATATTTTTGCCAGAAGCAGTTTAACTGGAATGTGTTCCAGAAGAGTAAGGAGAATAGGAAAGAGGAGGGATGGATGAAATAATTTAAGAAACCCAGCCTTGGAAAAGGAAGACTTGGACTTTCATCGGGCAATGGGAGAGCTTTAGAATTCCATAAATGATAGATTATGAGAAAGAGAAAACACTCTAGCGACATCTGATCCCATTTTACAGGTGGGAAAACTGAGATCCAGCAATTAGTGAAGTCAGGACCTATCCCAAGCTTTCTGATCACCTCTACCTTTACTCACTTCTCCAACTCACTTCTGCACCAAGTACCATCACCAATCTCAAATGTGGCTCCAGAGCTCATGACAAAGGGCATAGGTTACAAAGCACGGACATGAAAGTTGGCTCAATTTGAGGAGACCTGAGGTGAGAAATGATGCCCTGGCTGCCTCACAGTGTAGAGAGGTTCTTCATCATTGAAGGCACAGCCAACCCATGTGGCTGATATCTGTCAGCAATGCTATAAATGGCATCCCTGCAGTGGATCCTGATTTAACCACAGTCTTAAAGAAACCCAGTTCTGTGCACCAGTGTCTGGCTGGCTTCAAAAGAATCACTCAGAGAGGTTTTAAAAATAGAGAGATTCTCCAACTCTAATCTCTGAAATTCTGATTTAGGATGTTTTGAGAAACCACCGAAACTGGTGATTTCTGACAAAACTTCCAATACTTAAGATTCCAGTATAAAGTTACTTTGTCTTTCTCTCTCTCGCTTTTTTCTTTTCTCTTCTCTTCTCTTCTCTTTTCTTTTCTCTTTTTCCTTTCCTCTCCTCTCCTCTCCTTCTTCCTCCCTCCCTCCCTCCCTTCCTTTCTGAGCTTGGATTCCAAAGTATCACTAAGCTATAATTACGGAGGCAATGCATATAACATGTTGTCCTCATGGTCAAGAACAAGAAGCATTGCCATTGTCACAGACTGCCTGTGTCTCTTAGGCAGTCTTTTGATCTTAGTGTCCATTTTTCAGATCTCAGTGTCCACTTCCTTAAAGTGGAAGAAATAGTCTATTGGAGCAGTGTTTTTAAATGTATTTGTTTGTTTTTTTAATTTTAAGCATTTGTGGCCCAAACTTTCCGTGCCTATCGTGAAGACGTCCTCTCTGGTGTTCACTGACAATAGATAGGCTTTGATAGGCTCATCATCTGGTGGAAATCTCGATCTGAATTTGCGGGTTCCTACTCCATACCCAGAGGGTGAACCGCGGTTGGCAGTACTCCACTGTGGTAGTATCATCGCAAGGTAGCAGTGAGTACACAATCCAGTTCTGGGTGTGTATTCTGGGATGCGAGGGCAAGGCTGCATGGGAGAGGATCCCTTCCTGATGAAGGGGTGAGGTTTCGTGAAGAAAGGTGTTATTTCCCTTCATGCCCTGCCACCTATGCCCTGACTTGGACATGATGCACGGACATGAGCACCGGAAGTTCAGATAAAGAGGAGAAGATGGAGAAGCAGAAAGGAAGTTTTGTTCACTGGGGATGGTGCTCAGGTGCCACAATAGCCCTGGACTGTCCAGGCATGATCTACATCTGTACATGCCAAAACCAACACCTTATACATTCAGACTTTTGTGAGCAGAGTTTCCATTACCTGTGGACAAACACAAGTTTCACGGATATTGCCTTTGAACTCCCTTTTCAGAAGAAATCTCTTACAAAACTCCAATATAGAAAACTGGGTTGCATTAGAAATATGGATGGGGTGTTTCCAGAGCCATCCTTCCCCAGATTCCTGCAGGATTCTTCTACAGAACCAGAAATAGCCACGATCAGCATCTCTTAACATGGAGTTCCCATGAGAGATCCTCAAATCTTCCCTGAGATCTGAGAGTTTGGCACCAAATCTGTTCATGTATTTTTCTTGCCCTTCCTTTTATTTATTTATTTTTTTGATGTGATAATTTTGTGTAAGTTTTCTCCTAGAAAATATAGATCAATTTCACAACCAATGGCTACTACCATACAGTTTTGGTGTGTGTATTTGTATTAACCACATGATCACATGGGTGACAAACGATTCTATTCTAATTGTCAGGAATAGAGAAAGGAGAAGAATGTGACACAACATAAAATAGCACATTCCTTCAAGGTGCAAATAAAAGGACATAGTAAAAGTAGAAGGGAAGAGGAAAAAGCCATCAAAGAATCAAGTGTCTGTCCAGGATATAGGCGTGTAAGTATGCCAGGATCAAAGTAATCTCTGGGTAACTGTTAGTCCCATATTCATGGTATAAACCTTATTAAATTCCAACAATGCATCTTCCACATAAGAAACCAAAGTTGATAACCTGAATGTTATTAGATATGTTTCTCGGTATTCAATTCAAAATTTTGTTTTAGTGCTATATTTATTCAAGAATGGTTAAAACAGAGGTAATATCTACGTGGGTACTTTTGGTTTGTACATATTTAAATGACAGTACAATCAAATAGTTAAATCAAGAATGTGGGTGTTGATCTCCCCTACAAATACCCTGTTATAAAAGGGGTTTCCATTAAACACACACTCAAGAAATTCTGAACTACAGAATGGCCCAAGTCCCTTCCAGATGGTCAAATCCAAGAGTCTACAAACCTCCTAACCTTATGAATCTAGTATAAAACACTTTCACCAGTAATTGGTACATGACCTCGGAGATGTTTTTTAAATTAAAAAAAATAAATTCATTCATCAAAATAAAGTTTATGTATCATTATATATTCTTTTGAAAAAGTCTGTCTTTATGGTGAATTGTCCATGGACAGGGCCTAGAACAAACTGCTCACTGCAATCACTCACCCGTCTCCACCTGGTCCGTTCACTCAACACCCCCAGTGGGAATATTTTTGGATGGAAGAAATATGGGATAAAAATAAAGCCTTAAGAGCCTGCTACCTCCTTGCTTGGGAAATCTGAACCACTGGGCGTTGCCGTTCTTACAAGATGTGCTCTCTGATTGCTTCCAGAAGGCACAGCAGGGCAGACCAGCCATGGGGTCTCCCATCGTGTAGAAGGTAGAACAATTCTCACTGAGACCATGGTTTATCCACACACTGCAAGACGAACGAATCAGCACCCACTGGTTTGCGCTGTTTCTAGCACGTGTGCTTCATTCCTGTGCACCAGCTCCTCCCTCTGCCTTGGCTGCCCAGTGTGTGAGGTGGCTACTGCTCTCTCCTATTGCCTGCACCTCTGCCCTGGATTTCTTCTCTGCCCTCCCACCCCTTCTTTTTCTTTTCAAATGTCAAGGGAGCTTGATCTGCCCCTCCTATACTTCTTTAACAGGGAAACTATAAAGTTTCTTCCCAGTTTTAGGCACTGCTGTTCAAAATTCTGTAACCCGGAGCTGCCATTTCACGCCTGCTCTGCTCAGTGCCTGACGCACACTAAATTTAGATAAGTATGACATTAGAGCTCACTTGAGTCTCCTTTTTCACCAGCAGTGGGCTTGGCTCATGTCGGTTCTGAATGTGTCTGGGCATTTGGCTCACCCAGTAGGCACTTGGGAAAGACACAAATGTAGTCTCCGTCTATGGTGATTTACTCATTTTTTTGGTCCCACATCCTGCGTATCCCGAACTCTCTCCAACGAACCCAACACAAAGATAAGACTGATGAAGAAAATGTGTGCACGCCACTCTTCGAGTAAAAGCCCCTGTTGCCCATCATTTCCCAAATCCTTCTTCTGAGTGCAAAACCGTGGAGAAAATGAGTTCTGAGAGTACTGAAATTGTACCGAGAGGACAGAAGGTTTGCCTGCTCAGACGTCTTATACAGAAAAAGAGATGAATAACTCCAGCCCTTTATTCTTCATTCACCCATTAGTCTAGACGGTGAGCCCCTCACTCAGAGATTTTAAAACTGAAGTAAACACACACCTGAATCCATTCATTCATCTATTTCCCCAACTAGACTTTTGGCCAAGACCCTTTGGAGAGCACGAGTGCTGTCACCGATTGCTCTGCCAGTAATCACAAAGCTGTAGTGAGATTTAGCCCAGCCCTTCCTGAGCTGAACGAGTTTCTTAAACGCAATTACACTGTGTATTTCCAAATGCTAAGCATGGTATAAGGTAGAGCTTTCCGGGGATGCAGGGTGTAAAAAACCTATATTGCATGATAGCTGATACGTATGAGGAAGGATTGTTTAAAAAGTTGTTTTTGGAAACCACTCTTTCCAGTAAAGTAGAAAATAAAATAAGCTGATTAAGGAGCTAAAATTCACCCCATCCTATCTCTATCTTTAAACAACAATTGCCAATGAACTATTGTTTTCTATTTCTATTTAGTTGTCTCTATTTCCAAAATACAGAAGCAGTTTTTGAGAGTAAAACTGCCAGTAACTTTTCAGCTCAGGATAGTCGAAAACTATGATAGAAACAGAATTACAAATGTTCCCAGCATATTTCTAGGCAAACCTATCAGTGGGCTCCTTAATGACAGCCCAAGTCCAGTAGAATAATAAAAGATGCCAGGAATTCATACACATGTATCTGCTCCCACCCTCTGAAAGTGTAATCCAAAATAGAAACTTCCAACTCCGATTCCTTCCTAAAATGAAAGCTATTTTCTGCTAAAAACACCCCTCTCAAAACTCTCATGAAGCAAAGAACACAGATAGTTTCCTCTCAAATGAAACTGTCCTTTCAAGCAGAAAAGTTACAGGAGGTGGGAACAGGGTGACCAAACAAGAATTCGCCAACTCTTCTTTCTCAAGTTCGTGTTGCTAGCTGAAGCCTAACTTTCAAGTGTCTCTGCCCTGCTGGAGGTCAGATCTTGAAGAGGTTATGGGACAAAAAAAAAAAAAAAAAAAAATGATTACAACTCCACACCAAATGTTTGAAGTGATGGAATTCTAACTTGTAACACACACGCACCCCCACCAAAAACTCACAGCACTTGCAAACACACAGCAGACTGAGAAAGTGCAAAGCAGCGTGGAAATGCAAGAGCAGTGCCCTACCTCGCGTGTCTGCTCCACAAAGCGGCTGATGAAAATCGCCCAGGATCCCAGAGCGTGCCGAGAGGCTCTGAAGGAGGCGGCCGCTCAGCCTGCCGAGTGTGAGCAGGCCCAGCCTGTGCTCAGAAGCTGCCCCAGTCAGATTTTCCAGCTGCAGAATTGCAGCCAAGTCCCTGCCCATGCCTGAAGAATTTCCTGAACAGCATTCCCGTTCTTTTTCTGACTGCTTTGAAACCGTACTCTGTCTGTACTTCAATAAGGCTTTGTCAGGCCAACTCGGAGCTACTGGGTTGTCTCCAGCTATCAATGGGAAACACATGTGTCAAGCACAGACTCGCTCCCCTGCAGCGGCGTCCATGGCGTCTGCCGGGCTCACATTCACAACCACAAAGGAAAGGGCTTCTAGAACCCGTTCCGATTGTTCGGCCATTCTCCAGGTTCTGCTCTGTGGTGCGAGATGCTGGAGAGGAGTCTTCCGCTGCTGCTCAGCGCGGCCCCTTTTTAACTTTTCCCCTTGGCCCGCCTGGTTAAGCCCTATGAGCCCACTGATCTCTTGCCAGCCCTGATAAGGAGCCGCTTATGGCTGAGATGCGAATTCTAATTTAATCTCCCTACCTGCCTCTGCCTCAGTCATTGCTCAAAATCTCAATTGCTGGAGGGGGAACAATATTTTTAGCATTTCTGGATTGGTTCAGTACCTCAGAGCTCTCCCCTCATCCTAATATGTGCATCTTTGCTGCTGCAACTAAAAATAATGCAATTATTTTCAGGCACTTTCCTGGCTCTCTGCTCTGTAACTGCTGGTCCAGGAATGTAACATCTCACATGCTCTTGAGATGTGTGATGGTTACAGGAAACAGAAAGTAGAAAACAATGTCCCTTTAATCAGGATATGTCCTAATTCTGCGCACCTGTGATTATTTCCCCGGTGACATTCCATCAAGATGTCCTGTGTATATTCTGTTGTGATTATTTCCCAGTGACATTCCATCAAGATGTCCTGTGTACATTCTGCTGGGTTTTGCGATCTACTTTTGACATTTCCCCTTACCATGAAACAAGAGGAAATCTTTAAAAATACCAAGAGGACACCCCTCTTCTCCCACAATGAAAACTCCATGTATAAAGAGTCGAAGCTAAGTTGTCAAGGTAACATTATAAAAAAGATGATTTATAGAGAAAGCCTCATCTGTTTGAGGCATTTAATTAATATTTTATGTCCTAAAACCACATCCCATTAGCACTTATTTTAAAGAACTGGCTTGCCAGATTTTAGAAAAAGTTGTGTGTTCCTGAGGGGCTGTTGTAAATAACAGGATTTGGTGGGGTCTTGAGTTTAGCATCAAATTGCAATGGGTGCTCGTAGGAGAATTAGAGTTTTACTTTGGGAAGTAGTTGTATGTATCTGTGTGGGGAGGGGAGCATGTGCACCTCTAAGGTCAGGATGCAGTTATAGAATCAGAGAACTTCAGAGTTGGAAGGAACCCCAGAGACCATCCAACCCAAATTGTTTCTACCCTTCATTTTACAGAGGGAAATGGAGGACCAGACAGATGAAATGACTCATCCAGAGTTGCAAAGACAGTTAATGAATGAGCTGAGGTTGGAAAATGGGATTTCGGCTATTTTTCTATGTGCTTTCTTCATCCCAGCATCATTCCGGCCATCTAACCTTCCCAGGAGAAGGTTGTAAGCTGTTCGTCCGGGTCTAATCCTTTGTCTCTTACTGACTGTGAATCTTGACCAGCTTGCTTAACCTCTCTGGATCTCAGTTTCCTCATCTATAAAACAGAAACAATGATAGATTCTACCTCATAGAATTGCGGAGGATTTTGTGAGATAAAGGACTATAAATGATATTAAATATCATACATTATATATATATTTTTTGTTTTATTTCTCAGAGAGAGAGAGAGAGAGAGACAGCGTGAGCAGGGGAGGGTTAGAGAGAGAGGAGACACAGAATCTGAAACAGGCTCCAGGCTCTGAGCTAACTGTCAGCACAGAGCCCAACGTGGAGCTCAAACCCACGAACAGCGAGATCATGACCTGAGCTGAAATCGGAGGCTTAACCGACTGAGCCACCCAGGCGGCCCACATTATGTTTTTTAAAAGATGTATTACAGTGCCTATAAATTTCAGCTTAGTTTTCTCTCAGTGGAGCAGAAATCAGACTCTTAACTAAAAAGCTAAACTGTACCCTACATCTTGTTTGCGTTCCTAAAATAAACGGTTTGTCTAGTTTTCTTCCACTTCACCTTTATGTAATAGGGACCTGCCACCTTAAACACAGGCAAGTGTCCTAATCCTTATTGGAACATTAAGCCCACCACATGGCTACTTTTCATTTATCCCCTAAACTTAACACTTAAGTCTTTCCTCAAGATTAACTCACAGGAAAGGAAAACAGTGAGACCAAATCTGCCCTCAGTGACATGAGGCTGAACAAAGTGCCATTTGAAGAGAACTGGACTTTCTCTCTGAACCTGAAGAGCTCAAGATTACCACTCCAAAAATAGGAAACCACTAACAATTACAATTCCCTGTCTGGTAACTGTGACATCCTCCATTAACAACCAACACACACACACACACATTGAGAAAGAAAACTTACTGAGTAAACAGCTGCAATAAATTCTAAAGAAGCAGATTTCTACCTGGGGTTTCTGAGTCTTTGTCATAGAGCCAACAACAGCAAGCAGTTAATGAACCACTAGCTACATATTAATCATGTTTAGTTTGCCAAACTTCTTTCGCAGAAACAAAATAGGAGAAGTTAATTTTGAGAGGTTTACAAATGTGTTAGGAATCAATTAAACCAACAAACATAAAGCAACTGGAAAAAGCAAGCTCCGACTTATACGAAGGCAGAAATATCATGTGATTCAAAAGGCGCATCCCCAATACTTTCCCCCCAAATACTTGCTACATGGCTCATTTCAGTGTGGTTATCTGGAGAAAATAGATCAGTTGTGACCCAGCTCATCACTGCAGCTCAAAAATCCTCAAAATTTACTTACCGCTTCTCATAGAAAGAAAAATTAGGGGCACCTGGTGGTTTAGTCGGTTAAGCGTCCGACTTTCACTTAGGTCATGATCTCGCGGTTCGTGGGTTCTAGCCCCGCGTTGGGCTCTGTGCTGACTGCCAGCTCAGAGCCTGGAGCCTATTTCAGAGTCTGTATCTCCCTCTGTCTCTGACCCTCCCCTGCTCACGCTCTCTCTCTCTCCTAGAAATAAATTTAAAAAAATACAAAAAAGAAAGAAAAATTACCCAAAACTTGAAAAGACAGCCAAAAGATAATCTTGTTCTTCAAAGGTTTATATGTGGTTTGTGTAACATGCTCTCTCAAGAATTACCTAAGGGAAATGTGCTTTTGTTCCCTTTACTACTAAATAAAAATCCAAAATTTAGTCAAATTACATTACCTTCAAGACTTTTGTCTGTGAAAGATACAAATTATTTTTCTCAAGTAGAAAAATAATCCCATGTGATGGTTTACTGCCCTGTAAAATATTAACCAGTTTTGTAGCCAATCAAGCAATCTTGTACTAGCACTCTTGTATTAACACACCTATACACAAAGAGCTCCACAAATGTTCTTGGACCCAGTCTTACCAGCATACTAAGGTCCCCATCAGTTCATGGGTCAACTTAAATTTTTGATATCTTTTTACTCTATACGTGTAGATGCTCTTCTCTTCTAAAACGGTAGTGTGATGCGGTTTCATTTTCCACATCTGCATGATGGAGGTTATAAATCTCACGTGAGATAATGCATAATAAAGCACTTAAGATGTAATATTTGTTTTTCAGTTTTGCAAAAGACTCGAGATCACTAGACTAGATCACTCAACAATCTCCTTCCTATTTCATCTTTCAACTCTTATCTTTAGATTCTATAAATGGCCACATCTGCTAGAATCCTTCCACAGATGATGACCTCCTTGCTTCTCAGAAACGTCTACTTTTGCTATTCTAAACTTAATAACTGAAATATATCTCCCTATAACACACGCCCAGATCCTACAGCACTAACCATAAAGGTCAGTTTAAAATTCTGACTTTAATGATCATGTGAGGGATAAAACTTCACTCTCAACTAGAACATCAACTCCGTGAGGACAAGGGTTCTTGCCTGTACTATCTCCTGCCATTGTTTCCAATGTGTATGACTGGGAAGTAGTTGGACCTTGTATTTACCCTCTGAATGAATAGAGTTCTCTGTGAAGAATTACTTGATTGCAATTTCAACATCTCTGGTGCCATTGGATCATTTCTGCTCATGACAGGTCAGATCCCTCTTACCACCTCATTTGCTTTCTTCTAGGAATGTTTCAGTATGGCTAGTTTTCTCTTAAAATTTGATGCTGAGAGATGAACAAACTTTTCAGGTATGTTAGGTCTAATTTGGGGGCAGTGGAACCAAATTTCTCTCATTTGGGAAGTATGTTTCTATTAATGCAGTCCGTGATAATCTTAGTTTTGGGGACGATAAACTAGAGTAATACTGAGAAGCCAGCTCGCAGAGCATATATCAAGGTGCTCTTACATCTCCTACCTGGTGTGCATCTGTGATTCTCCAGCCTACCTTGATGTTAATCATCTGGAGGGAGCTTTTAAAATGACCATAGCCAGGGGCCCACATCTGAGACTTTGATTCTACTGGACTGGGACAGGAACCCCATAATCCAGGTGATTCTAATACCAGCCAGACCTCACAATCATGAAGTTGCAGCGATAACTTCTAAAATACAATCCTAAGCGTGTCACTTTGTGAACTAAAATCCTTAAATGTCTTTCTTACTATTGCCTGAAAGGGAAGGACAGCAACTGTCACCATGACTTGAAAGGCCTGGCTTCATCTGGTCCCTTGTCTACATCTTCTGTCTCATCTGCTGCCACTCTCTCTTCTTCAAAGAAATCTTGTATCTTCCCACTTGAGAATCCTTTACAAAGTTTTTTTCTCCTTCTGGAAAGATTTTTTTTTTTTCCTGGAAGTTACCCTCACTCTCAGGTTTTCAGTTCTTTAACTCCTATTCAACCTTCAAATGTATATTCCGTTATCACTTCTTCTAGGATTTAGTTAGCTCTGAATACCTCCCTGTTACATACTCCCAAGGACCAGTATTTATCATAGATTTGATTACACATTTGTTTGTATTTTTACTGGATCCATGTCAAAATGTCCTGATAGAAAACTGATGTTTTCCATGAGAGCAGAAATCTCTTACTCTCTATTGTGTCCTAGTTCCTTCCACTGTGCCTAGCTCAGGGGAAGTGCACAAAAGATATTTTTAAGTATGTGAATGCAGGGTTTTGTTTTGT